GAGAATTCATTAATTATAAAACGAAATTTAAATTATTATTAGATATTATATGTACTGATAATTAAATGCATATAAAAATATAATAGAAATTAAAATTTTAAAACAGATCTCTTCCGCCCTTTTCTATGAGATAATTATTATGGAAAACAATGAAAAATATTATTTTCATTATTTAATATCTAATCAAAAATTCCGCTCACAATCAGTGAATTCACTGTCAAAACAATGTTTTCTATATTTATTTTACATTTGTTTTAGTCGTAAGAAAATTCATTTCAAAAATAAAATTATAATTATGTTGTGATAAAAGAAATTTGTATTCAAACAGAAAAATAACAAAATAATAAATAATGGATTTATAATAAGAGAGATATCAAAAGTTATAATCAAAATAATCATCAAAAAATATTATATTATTAATATAATAATCTAAGTTATAATAAATAGTTAGATAATCATGTTTATTTAGGGTAACAGTTATAATGGGTCCCAATTCTCGGTGCGCCTACTATAGCCCTAATGTTGTGTTGACTCTAATATACAGTCTATCTCTCGATATTAACAACAAAAAAGTGATATAAAAAATGAGAAATACATAATAAAAATAATTTCAGGAGAGAGAGAGAGAGAGAGAGAGAGAGAGAGAGAGATTTGTGTTAAATTATTATGCATTTGTGCAAAGATTTATGCGGCGATAAAAAATCATAACGAAAGTCAAATTATAACTGACTTTCTTATGTTTGCAATAAAATGATAGATAAATGAACTGAATTTCGGCACAGAATACAGAACTATGTTTTGCACTTAACTTATTAATGATTACAAACTAAATGGCATTTCTCAGCGTTTGGGTCTATCGCTAATCTCTATGTATTTTGTAGTTTAAGTTCAAAACGGATTGATATTTCATAGATATCGTGAAGAATAAGGGCTTTCTTATGGAGTGAAGAGCCCTTCCAGTGATTTTCATATAAACAGATCACTCGATCAGTGATAATGGAAATGCATATAAGAAGTTGTATTCACTTTTTTGCCGTACATTTCATTTGTAATAAATAAGTTTTTTCTGTTAGATATCTAAATAAATACAAAAATCATAAAAGTTCATACAAATAGCCGATGGATATTAATAATTAATTACTTTCTGATAATCTTATGTTTTATATAATTTTTGAATAAAATTTATATCGTTTAGAAAACAATTCATTATAAATTTAATACATTTCTCCGGTCTTGCGTTAAATGGTTTCTTCTTAAGAGTCAAAGAGATATTTATTATGACACTTGTTTTAAGCTTATAATGAAATTAGCTCTCTCTCTCTCTCTCTCTCTCTCTCTCTCTCTCTCTCCAAATTGATTTTCTCCGTTAATTAAATTCACTTTTTTAAAAGAAAATAAAATGAAAATATATTTGCAAATATTTTCCAAAGAATTATACAATATTTAGATAAATTAAATAATGAATAAAAATTAAGTTCACTTCTAATACCCAAACAAATCTCTTTATCTATGGATTTGAGAGAAAGTTCTTGAAATGTATTCAATTAAGCGATTGTAAAATTCATTTGATATTTATCTAATATATTGATCTAAATAAGGATTATATAATATTCAATAACTTATGAATTTTAATTAAAGTTTTTGTATAAAAATAGGTATTGATTTAGATAATAATTGAATTAATATTAATATTAAATATTTATTATCTTATGATTTTAATCTGATTTCAATAATAAGTAATATTTTAATACATCAAAACAAACCTCACATAAAGTAATAATTTTTTACTTTTATAATAAAATATTTTATTCACTTATTTAACATAAAAAAATATAATAAAATTTAATCCAAATGATGTTACAAATGGTGTGAAATATTAAAGCAAAAAATGTGACAAATAACAACTATAAATTTCCCACAATTTGTTGATAAATATGAATCAAATAATTGCATTATCTTATTATACATGTATTATATTAAATATTTCAATCATCAATTAAATTATATTAATCCCTTTACATTTATAATCTAACGATCATATCGGATTTTTCATAAATGTAAGTTTTCTGCATTATTGTAATTTATAATGCTATTGAAATAACAATACTTTTATTAAAAAAAAATATATTTTTGTTACAATTGATAAATTATTTTGCAATTGTAACAAATATTGTAATAAACAAACTATATTAAATAACCAATCACAGTAATTATTAAATCTAGGTTTACGTGAACTACTGTTTAATCATTAATTGAATTGAATTTATTGATATTTTGATACATAGATATTAATTATGGGAATTATAGCAGATGACCATGCACAGTTTGCTCTATAAATGTAATTTTTATTTTATTTTTCAATTCATTTCTTAATTTAAAGATGAATTTTTTAATATTTTCATTTCTAACACTGTTTAGTGTTTGTATTTGTGATGATATATCGGTAGACATATGTGTATACGGGGGCACATCTGCCGGCGTTATGGCCGCATATAAGGCCAAAAAGTTGGGCAAAAGTGTTGCACTGATAGAGTCGGGTCGACATCTCGGAGGCGTCACATCGGGTGGACTCGGATTCACCGATTATGGAGATAAGTCTGCAATCATTGGTTTAGCCAAAGATTTTTATCACAGAATTGGTGTGAAATACGGAAAAACTACCGAAACGTATACTTTTGAACCACACGTCGCAGAAGTGGTCTATAATTCATACATAACTGAAGCAAATGTTAGCGTTTTGTTTGACTACAGAATTATTTCGGCAAAAATTGTCGACAAAAAAGTCGAGTCAATAGTTGTCGAGAAATCAAGTGATTCTCAGATCAGCACTAATGTTGTCATTACGGCTAAAATGTTCATTGATTGCAGTTATGAGGGGGACCTCATGTCCAGAGCCAACATCTCATATACTTTTGGTAATTGTTTGCAATATTTAAATTAAGAATTAAAATATTATGGATATTAGGCAGAGAATCAAATTCATTGTATAACGAGACACATAATGGCGTTCAGATGCTATCTGGGCATCAATTTCCCGATAATATCAATCCGTATGTAATTCCTGGCAACAAATCGAGTGGTCTTTTGTGGGGCATAAGTGATGAAACACTCGCCAGACAGGGATCGGGAGATAAGAAGATTCAGTCATTTAATTACAGGATATGTCTGACAAACAATAAAACCAATCGCATAGACATCGCAAAACCCGATAACTATAATCCCCATCACTTCCAACTCCTGATCCGTTTAATAGAAAAATTAAAACCAAAATCAATCCGAGGTTTTGTGATTCAGAGCCCAATGCCTAACCAGAAGACAGATATCAACAATTACGGGCCTTTCAGTACAGACGCCATTGCAATGAATTATGAATATCCGGACGGATCTTATGAGACCAGAAAGACGATCGTTAAACAACACGAAGACTATACCAAAGGATTTCTGTATTTCGTTGGACACGACCCTCAAGTGCCCCAACACTTAAGGGATGAGATGTTGTCGTGGGGTTACCCTAAGGACGAGTACAAAGACAACAACCATTGGACGCATCAGTTGTATATCCGAGAGTCGCGGCGAATGAGTGGTCAGTATTTAATGACTGAGAGGAATGCGATGGGAAAAGATTTGGTCAGCGATGGTATAGCGATGGCATCGTATACTATGGATTCGCATAACGCCCAAAGAGTGGTAGTGAACGGAATGGTGAAGAACGAGGGCAATGTTGAGTCGCCAGTTCCGCACCCGTATCCGGTGTCCTATGGATCAGTAGTGCCGAAGTCGAGCGAATGTCACAATGTTTTAGTGCCGGTGTGTCTGTCGGCAACTCATATAGCGTACGGATCCATACGAATGGAGTACACATTCATGGAGTTAGGAGAGGCCTCAGCCGTCGCCGCAGTCATGGCTCTCGAGGCCAACACTTCCGTACAAGAAGTCGACACAAAAGTATTGAAAGAAAAACTCAATATTAAATAACTGATACAAAGTTAGAAATATATTATTAAAAATAACATTTAAAATACAATTACATTAAAATAATTGACAAATAATGTAATAAATGGATCAATAATTAAATAATTGTTAAAAAAGTTAAATATTTAGTAAAAACAATGAATTCATAGCTGAAGAAACTGGTGGTCAGCTTCGGGTACAATGAAGTACTCGACGAAACAGTGCTCGACATCCAAGTGGTCCACGAGTTTGACCATAAACTGAAGGCTCAGCACTCCTTCATCGTCGGTACGGACCGACAGTTTGGACG